GTTTTGAACCAGAGTGTGCTTCCTTATCTCATCTCAACAAACCACCTCTCACACAGCTCCCAGTGGCCTTTTTTACTTTCCAAGCCTAAGAGGTTGCTCGGCTTAGGGCCCTGAAACTGGGTCATATGGGTGTTGCTGGACACTGTGAGCAAAGCTGCCCAGACCACACACAGGTAAGGAAGAGAGGCTTGGAGCAATTGGTTGGATAGGCAGTGTGACAAGTAGGAAGGGTAGAATTCAACAGTGCACTCCTGTTGACGGCAGAGATATTTTTGGACAGTATAACAGAATTGTGGCACCAAACGGTCACCGTCTGGGCTCTCATCTGGTTTCAGGAGCCAAGGCAAAGGCCAGAGGGCTCAGAGGTCAGGCCCAGCAGCTTCTCTGCTGACGGAAAAGTGGTCGAAACTGTACAGGATGCTGCAGTTGTAGGTCTAAATAAAACAGACATTGCTTTTCTTCACAAATACACACGTAGTCAAGCACAGGGGTCACGGTTGGGGTCAAAATGAAACGAGAAAGACTGTCTGGGTACACACTCTCATTACAGTGGCGAGTGACAGGTCAGGAGTATCGCCTGTCCGCAGGGGCTTTCACCATGAAATGTGATAGAGCTCTGAAGTTAAACCAAAAAGCCTCAAAGCAGCTCAAGTAATGGAAATCGGGTGGACAGGAAGTTTTTTAAAATATCATTGTTCTGCAGGACATATGTGTTATAATTAGCGCTACTTGAAACTCCCCGTTAAAGTAAAAAAATCTTACCATGCATTAAATGCAGCATTAAATGTTAAAGAAAAAGCTATACACATGTCCCCAGTTAAGGGGTTTCTCGGTGATTTAAAAGCATTTGAACGAGTTTAAGATGCCAGAAAAGAAAAGAAAAAAAAAACAAAACAAAGACAGAAATATATAAATAAAAAAGATTTTGAGAACTGTAAATCAAACCAATTTCCTCTTATAATTAATTATATCTTTCTGTCTAAAATCAGAAGTTTTGTCAGTTTTCATGTAAGGGAGAGAAACAAAAAAAAACAATCTGTCTTTTTCTTTTCTTCTGGAAATACAGTAGGGGTGTGTCAGCGTCTGTTTGATGGCTGGCATCTGGACGCCAGAGTGTCAGTTCTTTACTGCAGGGAATGAGGGTCAGAGTAAGAAAGTCAGCGCTGTAAACCTCATGTCACAGCCAGACAGCATGTTGTTGTAGAGGGGAGGACCACACCAGTGTCCATGAAAATTCTAAATGATTGTAGAGTTCTACTTGAGGTAGATTTATACCACATTTGAAAATGTCGCAGCTCAGCAACTCATTATCTGTTTAGCTGGAAAATCCAAGGCGGTTGTGTAGTATTGCATAGACATGGAAAATTGCTCAAATCTTGAGGGCCATGAAAATATATGCCCTCCTCTTGGATAAGATACCATGTTCAGGCAGGGGGGATTTACTATTAGGCAATACTAGGCAGTTGCCTAGGGCTCCAAGTTCCTAGGGGCCCCATAAAACTCTCTTTATATGTATGGTTAATACAACTATTCCTTATTTGTGCACATTAATAATGTTTTTGAAAAAAATCCTTTCACTAAAATGCAATCAGAATGTCTTTGGCATTTTAGTGAACAAAAATGCTGTCAGAAACGGGGCTGTGCAGTGGCTCAGTGGGTAGGTAGAACTGCTGCCTTGCAGCTAGAAGGTTCCAGGTGCGATTCCTGGCCCAGGGTCTTTTTGCATGGAGTTTGCATGTTCTCCCTGAGCATGCATGGGTTCTCTCTGGGTACTCCTGCTTCCACAGTCCAAAAACATGACTGTTAGGTTAAATGTGAGTGTGTCCGTGAATGGTTGTTTGTCCCGTTTGTCTCTGTGTTGTCCTGCTATGGACTGGCGACCTATCCAGCATGGACAGGGGTAGACACCTGTCGACAGCTGGAGATAGACCCCGCTTGGGATAAGTGTGATGGAAAATGGATGAATGGATGGATGGCCATCAGAACGCTTATAATATTGTCAGCCGTGACAAGCAATTAACTGCTTATCTGGAGAACAGATAAGCAGTTCATTGCTTGTCTACAGTGAAAAGAAGGACTGTGTTATTTACAGGTGCTGGTCATAAAATTAGAATATCATGAAAAGATTGATTTCAGTAATTCCATTTAAAAAGTGAAACTTGTATATTATATTCATACATTACATACAAACTCATATATTTCAGATTTACAGTTTATTTTGTTTAAT